CAGGTACTGTAGAGCCTGAGGGCTACAGTAGCGGTCAAGAGACAGGGCAGACCCCTAATTTCGAACCGCATGCAACGGACGGGGATGTTCCTGACTCTGAGGTCCCAGAGTCAAACGGAGTACCACTGAGGGACAGATGCCCTGAGACGAGTTCACCTCGTAGGTCTCAGAGAACGAGACGTGCACCCACCTACCTAAGTGATTACGACTGTTCATGAGGTATTTTTGCTTAGGGGGGAGGGAATTGTAATGTATTCTTAGCTGCCATGAGTACATTAGGATGTATGGGAAACCTCCCATAGGGAAGCAATGTTAAGCTTCGTCTTGGACAGAGGATTCTCGTCTCCACCCTCCAAAGCAGCCATTTTCTCCAGGGGAGCTTGTAATGTATTCTTAGCTGCCATGAGTACATTAGGATGTATGGGAAACCTCCCATAGGGAAGCAATGTTAAGCTTCGTCTTGGACAGAGGATTCTAGTCCAAGACTCACGACCCAATCACATTCAAGCAAGCTGCAAGCGGGAACGTTTGTGATTGGTCCTTATGCGCTCAACCTGATAGGTTGTTATGTGTATAGTGGGAGTGGCTATGTTAGCCGGGAATGTTTAAATACCGGGCAGTTTCAATGGGCAAACTGTTCGGGCTATCAGATGTTGTACCGTGTCGAAGAAGTGAAGAAAGAGCTGAATAAACTTGAGTCTTTTACTGAAATCACTCTCCGACTCATTGTTAAGCGCCGGACTTAACAGAAAGCTTGGGGGAGGAGAAAGTTTGTGGGCAGCCAAGGCCTCACCGCGCGGGGGGGGGGAACAAGGAGGGAGGGAGAAACAGCCAAAAAGTAAAACAGAGTTCACTGCGGCTGCGTAGAGAACGGACTTACCAGGGCAGAGGGGGAGGAGCCTTCTCTCCCCGTCCCTCTCTCTCCTGTTGTTCTGATAGCATTGAGTCCTCCCTATGGCCACGCCCCCTCCACCGAACTTTCAAGCCTTCAACAGACAACGATGCGATTTAAAGCAAACTGCAGCAGTTCTCAGCTCTCTTCACTGTGCTCGGGCAGCTCCTTCCACTTTGCAAGAAGGAAGCGCACATACACACCACCACCACCACCGGGGGGGGGGGAACTGGAGCAGGCGAGAGAAGTTCCCAGTGCCTCTGCTCTTCCTCTTCCCCCACCTCCTCCCAGCTAATTAAGTTTTAGGTTTACTGATAGAAGGGGGGGGGACAGAGTGGGCAGGGAGGAAACCCTTTTTTTCTGCGGAGAATGCAAGAGTGTGAGTGTGTGCCAAACTTCCTTCTCAGATACTAGATGCTAGAGCCAGCAAGCTTTTCCATCACCCTTTGCAAAGAAGTCTGGAACAGAAGGATTTTGCCTGGAGGTGGGTCAGCCTGGCCATTTCTTTCCCTGCATTGGAATGCCAATAGAGTGGGAATGGCAGAGGCTTCAAATGTAGCTCCCCCCCCCCCAGCGATGCTGCTTTTTGATGCCTCATCCTGACCAAAATGGTATTGCATAAATCAGTTGTAATGTTGAGTTACAGTAGTTTAGTCATGGGAATGCTATTAAAACTGCAGAGCTCTGATAACAATTATTACTTTTAAACTGTGGGGTTTCTCTGGACTGCGGCCACCAGTGTTCCCTCTTGTTTGTTAGATTTCCCCACATAAATCTCACATTTATTTTTTTATCTTTCCAGAAGGCAGATGTTCCTGATAATGTGTACATGAACCAAATATGTTGGACAGAAAAATACAAATCAAATAAGGATTCCTATGAGGTAACTTCAAGTTATACTTCTTTGGAACTATGCAAAATTTGTGTGTGTCCACTGATTGGGGAATTTCACATTACCCGTCTTCTCCCGGTTTCAAGCCGGGAGTCTTCCGTTTGCAGATGAACCGGTAGAGGGCTGCCGTTTCACACACGGCTTGCCCCTACCGGAAAGGAGCCGATTCAGAAGCGGTTTGGCGTTTCACACACGCACTGCTTTGTTTCCCCACGGTTTTTTTTTTTAAAAAGTCTGTCTTATAGCGATATATCGATATACCAGTATTCCAATGTATTCCAATGGGATCGGTATAGCGTTATATCGATATATCGATATAAGCTGAACGTTCAAAAAAAAAAAAAAAGCCCGCGCGGCTGAAAAAAGGCGGGAAAGAAGCGTATCGGAACCGGGAGAGGGAACGGGAGCCTCCTCGGAAGCGGTTGACAGGTAAAACGCTTCCCTCCCGGTTCCTAATCGGCAGAGAGGCTTCCCTGTGTGAAATGCCACTTCATCCCGGTAGGGAACCGATTCTCAACCGGGTTCTGTCTGAAATGACAGACCAGCACCCGGTTGAGAATCGGTTCCCTACCGGGAGAAAGCACCTGTCTGAAATTCCCCATTGTTATTAAAAGGGATAAGTGTTTGGATTTGGCAAAGAATACAAAAAGCCTTCCATGCCCAGAGGACTCTTGAAATATGGCTGTTAAAAAGAAACAACTCTCAAACGGCTCAGCCCAACACTGGTCATACCTGTTGGCAAGTGTTAAATATATCAATAAGTAGAAAGAAAATAGTTTAATAAATAAAAAAGTACAAATATCCTTCTACATGTAATGATTGTCTCATTTCTTTTAACAGTCAGTATAACTAAGATAAACAAATATATTTGTTTCTTGTCTCTTAAGCTATTACTGATACATAGATTTTGAAGCTGTTTCTTTCCATTTACCAATATATTCAGCATTTGCCAACATGAGAGATTCACAGCCTAATGGTAGAATACATATGGAATGTCATAACAGTTAAGATAACCTGTTAGTGAATTCAGTTAAAATGTCTCAGTGTTGGTATCATGGCTGGAAAAATCTACCTCTATACCTAAAGCACTGAAAAGACCTGCTGTCAATCTGCTGGGTTAGGTAACCCGTTGTGCAAGGTTTCTCTTCCTCTTTTCAATAGCTGCAAGGGCTGATTCACACATTATATTTGTGGCTGGCACAAGGGATTTGGATTGTGTTCCAGGCTTCCCAGGCATTGGCAGGTCAGATTAGGATCAGCGCTATGGCATACATTCAGCCCCGTCCATGCCCTGGCCAACTTCCCCAATCTGAAATGTCCCATTTGCTCTGTTAGTAAGCTTACGTATAGCCATTGTTACACATTGGTTTCCCAGTTGAGCAAACGGCAGCTTTCCAGTGCCATTTCAGGTCAAGCAAGTGGAACGAGGGGCAGGCTGAAGCCCCTTCTCCTGTGTACCTGCCTGAGAAGCACAGAACTCTCTCAGCACATGTGCAATTCAAAAGGACTTTGTAATGTGCAATCAGCTCAGAGCCACTAAAACTATTCATTCCATATTAACCTTTTTAAAAACTCTAGTCAGCACGGGACTGGGGTTTTTTTGCCCAAGTGTACACATAAAGAGATTTTAGCTTCCATGTATCACCTTTCAACTGTGGGCTAATCCATCAGAAGTGACTGAAGTAAATGAAGAATATTAAATAATAGAATAATGTTAAGTATTAAGTGCAGTAGGAAGGAAGGTAGCATGGTGTAGCCCAATCTCCTCGGGTTTCAGAAGCTAAGCAGAGTTGGTACTTGGATGGGAGACCTCCAAGGAAGATTTTGCAGAGGAAGGCAATGGCAAACCACCTCTGCTTACTCACTTGGCTGGGACTTGATCGCCCTTTACACATGCGCATTAAGTGCAGTGTGAGTGGACCTCACCAGAATCCCTACACCTCCATCTGTTGCATGAACTGGGTTTACCTAATTGGCATAGAAAAAGAAGAAAAATCACCTTCCACTTTATACATCAAATAAGCATTCGAATCTTCCTTTTATTGTGACATTCATCTGTCTAGCTCAGTGCTGTCTATTCTGATTGGCCTTGGGCAGGTGCTTAAGGTCCCAGGCAGTGTTCTCTTCCAGCCCGGTTATCTCAGTTCCTTAAAGATGCTCAGGATCGAACTTTTTAATGGAAATTGTACATTCCATCATTGACCTATGATCTTTCCCTTTTTCAGTCTTTGCACTTTTCTCTTTCACAGAGATGAATCTCTTTAAGAAATTGTAATGTATAAAATGGCATGCAGTAACTCCATGAATATAAACATTAAACCTTGTAATATCACTGAACTCAGAACTTCGTCTCATAAAACAGAAATAATTTATCTGAAGCTGCAGGAGTCACATACATCTTTCAAGGGAAATTGCTCTGGTAATAATTTTATGAATGAGGAAACCAACAAATCACTAGCTCGTGAAGGAACATACACTGTCCTATAGTGGTAGTTGTAGAGTTTTTTAGACCAGTATTTCAGTTGCAAAAAGGTTCTGCAGTGACTCCTTCTCACCCTTACAGAGCCAATGAAGAGCTTATGTACAGCTCTGGGATATACATTTTTCCCACTACACATACAACAAACCAGAGTGCAGTACGACGGGAATGTCTGAAATAAGTATTGAACTGTGTTATGCAGATGTCACAAAAGGGGTTACCATATGGGCAAAATTAGGGTTGGATCCAACCAGCTTTTCCACTGATGAAAAAGGAAGGAAGGAGAGCACACTGACCACCATTGCTGGAAGTGTTGGAAATTGGATGTCCGAAGGCCATGTTCAGTGAGGGCTGTAGTAAGGAGGGTGATTAGGTGAGATTGGATGGAAAAACTGGCTGGATTGGTCCATGAATATAAAACTCTGGAAGCCTCCCAATATTCACTTGGACTCCTTCTCTCCAGATATTTAGGAAAAGGTGCAAGTGTCTCTTGTTATATACACTCTTTAATGATGTTTGCACTTTCTGCTTTATTTGGATACAGTGTTTTTGTCTGTCTGTCTGTTTGTTTTTGTTTTAGTGTGCTGGTGCTGATTTTATTTTCCCCCACTCTTTTAATGTATTCTGTTGCTTTCCTTTTGCACGCCACCTTGAGCCCACTTGGGGGTACAACTATTTTAGATAACTAAATAAATAAATAAATTAGTAAGATTTCTAGCAGTTAGGGAGCATCTTAAGACATTCCAGTCTGTTATCCAGATGTTCACTTACAGGCATGCAGTAGGGAGTAGAATGAATTATTGTGAGTTACCTTATCTTTTTACTGGCAAACCAGGGAGGTGGTGTAGTGTGGCATGCCACAGTACTTGCACTACTACAACTATCATGCAAAGCAAAGGAACCTTGTTACATAAGCAATAATAATAATTATTGTTGTTTTAAAGCACCTACAAAGGGTGCTGTACAAAAGGGTTTTAAAAAGAAAGACCCTGCCTTCAGGCATATGGTGTAACTATGACAGACAAGATAAGGGAGGGGCAGCAGCAAGAGAGACATGCTGAAAGAGTAGTCTGTGGAAAACAGATATGTTTTAAAGTGCTTTTTAAATACAGGAAGCAGCAGGGCCAACTGAATTACAAGAAGGGAGGGCATTCCAGTGAAAAGGAGCAGGAAGAGGGAAAGCAGGGAACATACATACCTTGGTTTCAACTGGGTTGTGCAAATCTAGGGAGTATTATCACCCAAGCAGTCATTTGACACTTCCGTGCAGGTCCTCAGGCTTGAATCCAGCTCAGAGCTGCACCTGATATGCAAGTACACTTAGAAGTGCTGGTGCAGACAGAACCAATTTGGTATAGTGGTTAGGAGCAGCAGACTCCAATCTTGAGAATTGGGTTTGATTCCCCACTCCTCCACATGCAGCCAGCTGGATGACCTTGGGTCAGTTGCAGTTCTCCCAGCGCTGTTCTCTCAAGAGCAGTTTTCTCAGAGCTCTCTCAGCCCCACCTACCTTACAAGGTGTCTGTTGTGGGGAGAGGAAGGGAAGGAGATCGTAAGCCACTCTGAGACTCCAAGTGAAGGGCAGGGTATAAATTCAACTCTTCTTATTCTTCTTCCTAAGGGAAGGACTGTAAATCAGGCAACAAGTTATTTGGAGGTTTTAATATTTGCATTAAGTATAAACCAGCATAATGAATTTATGAATCTAAATCTTGGCTAGAATTTCCATTTGGTGTAAAAGGGATATTCCCCCTTTTTCAGTCTCATAGAGATCGTATGAGAAATACATTGACATCGAGAACTGCTCAGGTGCTTTGGTAGCTACTTAAAAGAATCTGAGAGTTCTGCTGTTGAAGTCAACCTGAGTTTTCTGTGTTGTTAGCAGCAGGGTAAAACACAGTTTTTCCTCTGCCAACAATCCTGAAATGCAGACACCCTCCTCCCTCTTTGTTCATTATTAGACTCATCTGCTCCAGCAATTTTACTGATGCAAAGTGAACCTGACAGTCACAGCTATATTAAAACCTGTAGCACTGGCAAAAAGAATACGTTTCATAATCTTGCTGTTGTGATAATGTGGTTAATTGCAACATTTATTTTAGCTGCCTGGGCAGTTAGATATTATTTTATATCTCTGATCCATAACGATTTTCATATGTATTTGTTGTTAACATAGGCAAGATACGTTGCAAGCTAGATGTAACGTCAAAACAGAATACTTCATTAATTCTTCATTTGGTATCTTTAAGGTCCTAGTGGACTCTTACTCCTTTTTTTTTGCCCCCCAAAGGGGAGTTTTTTATTTTTTGCATTTCCTACACACTACAATTATGGGATGGGGGAAAGGATACTAATACCCTAACACTATTACAATGTGTGATGGGTAAAGGAGATCTAATACATATATCTACTTGATAGGGAAAGGAATACTACCATTCTAATCTATTTCATCTACTGGATTTGAGGGAAGGGAGAAGTCTAATACAAGTCACGATCTGAATAGTTGAAAAAA